CCTCTCTCTCTCTCTCTCTCTCTCTCTCTCTCTCTCTCACACACACACACACACACACACAGCCAGAGGGGTGTGATAAGGGCATACAAGGCGGGTAAGCTGGGCAACCTGCTCTTGTGCACAGCAAGTAAGCATGCAGACGGATGAAAGCATGCAGGGACGCGTTTGCACGAGTAGAAAGAACAGTTGAGATGCTTGATAAAATGCTAATCACCCGCACCGGGTCTTTTTCCCCTACCCATCTGTACCTGACACCTACCGATAGTCGGCACCGTGCTGAGCACCTCTCCAATATGTAACTTATAGAGAATGGTTGTCTTCCCTGCCGCATCCAGACCCAGCATCACCACCTGACAACATGTTTTTTTTTGTTTTTGTTTTTTTTTGGGGGGGGGAGGGGGCGCGGGGTATCATTACAATCACCAATCACCAGGGATTCACAATCAAACCACACGTCATACAAAAACATCAGTGACAAAGAGAGGTAGCTGGCTATATACCGAAAATAACCAAAAAAAAAAAAAAAAAAAAAAGGTGCAAAAAAAATTAACTCCTCCGTCACTTACAGGTGGTTCTGCACTACCATTTGATGATGATAATTATTATGATAATAATTATTATGATAATGATCACGATAATGTTGATACTTATAATGATGATGATGATGATTACGATGATGCTAATTACCCCTTTGGGCATTTTACCTTTGACGTTCCTGACCGCAATTTCGGCGTTTTCTGAACCGAAATCGTTATGTCCTCTGGCGTTTTCCAAAGTGGAAGCTCTGGAGTTTTTTTTTTAAATCGAATTTTTACTAGTAAGTGGAAGCTCTGGCGATTTTTTCGGTTAACAAATATCATCGAAATTGCGGCCTAAAGGAGAATGATGACGATGACGATGATGATAATTATGATGGCAATGATGATGATGATGATGAGGAGGAGGAGGAGGAAGATTGATCCATAACCACTAAACAGTGTCCTTCTGAGACTTTTTTGCAAGGAAAAAAAAAAAAGCAAAAAGCAAAAAAAAAGAAAAAGGCCCAAACTATTATTCTGGCTTTTTTTGCAAACGAAAAATGCGCAAGGAGGATGAAAAGTGCAGAGAGGCGTATCCCCGATTCGATTGGGACCCCAAGCCAAAGCGAAGAATAAGGACGGGAAAAAAAAA